ACTATTTCCTTGGTGACTGATTTCAGTGACCGAATCAGTGACCGAATAGATATAATCAAATTGGTCACTGAATCGGTCACTGATTCAGATCAATAACAAATTTAATTATTTTTATTATATCTATTATTTATTTTCCCTATCTCTTAATTATATTATATTTTTGCTTATTTAAGTTTTTATTTATGTTTATTTCCCCTATCTCTTAATTATATTATATTTTTTAGAAGTTTAACTTATTATTAGGTGGTTTATTGTCATTGTCGGGATTCAAACCTGCACCTCGAAGTTGAAGGTCGAAACTCCAACCACCGAGCTACTATGATCTTTTAATAATAACTTACAAATAAATTATATTTATATACAAATAAATGTATATCCGTATAAATATATAAATATAAAATCTATAAATAAAAATATATTTATATATTTTAATATATATTTAAATATTGATATATTTATATCTTTATATTTTTACATATATTTATATTTTTATATATTTATATCTTCATATTTTTACATATATTTATATCTTTTCATATTTATATATAAAGATATTAGTTTTCTATACAAATAATATTAGTATATTATACTATTAGTATAGTATACAAATTATTAATTTTGTAATTTATATACAATGAAAATAATATAATGGTATATTAGTATAGTATAGTATAATATATATTTATATGTTTATATTTACTTCTAATAGCGGTTGCACCATCGCTCGAGCGAGATTAGAGTCGCTTAAGCGAAATACAATCCGAGAATGCCAATTTTGTGCAGGGGGCGTTTCGCTCGAGCGAGAAGAGTATCGCTCAAGCGAAATACATTTTAGATAGCGGTTACACAAGAACCGCTCTTAAAAGCTCACTTAGATAGCGGTTAACCTGAAACCGCTATTATATGGTTTCAATTATGATCGTTCAGCATGCAATTATGACCGATCAGAACTCTTTTAATCGATTAAATCTCGTTTCAATCGATTAAAACAATTTCTGCACAGCGTTTTAATCGATTAAAACTTATTTTTATCAGTTAAAATAACTTGAAAAGTTTTACAAGAAACTTATATTTATATATTTATATTTTGATATATTTATATATTGATATATTTATATATTGATATATTTATATATTGATATATTTATATATTTATTTATATCCTTATACATTTATATCTTTATATATTTATATATTTGTATCATTTCGAAAATCTAATCAATATATTGATATATTTAAATATTGATATATTTATATCTTTATATTTTTACATATATTTATATTTTTATATATTTATATCTTCATATTTTTACATATATTTATATCTTTTCATATTTATATATAAAGATATTAGTTTTCTATACAAATAATATTATAATATAGTATATTATACTATTAGTATAGTATACAAATTATTAATTTTGTAATTTATATACAATGAAAATAATATAATGGTATATTAGTATAGTATAGTATATTTGTATTCTAATTTTTAATTGAATTAAAATTATGCTAATAATGTATATTAGTATATGAGAGAAGATTCTCGCTCAAGCGAGAAGACTCTCGTTCAAGCGAAATACATTTTAGAAAGCGGTTACACAAGAACCGCTTTTAAAAGCTCACTTAGATAGCGGTTCACCTGGAACCGCTATGATATCGTTTCAATTATGATCGGTCAGAATGCAATTATGACCGATCAGAACCCTTTTAATCGATTAAATCTCGTTTCAATCGATTAAAACAGTTTCTGCACAGCTTTTCGCTCGAGCGAGGAAAGTTTTGCTCAAGCGAAACACAACCCGAGAATGCCAATTTTGTGCAGGGGGCGTTTCGCTCGAGCGAGAGGGTTGTCGCTCAAGCAAAATACAACCCGAGAATGCCAATTTTGTGCAGGGGTGTTTCGCTCGAGCGAGAATATTGTCGCTCAAGCGAAATACGTTTTAGAAAGCGGTTACACAAGAACCGCTTTTAAAAGCTCACTTAGATAGCGGTTCACCTGGAACCGCTATGATATCGTTTCAATTATGATCGGTCAGAATGCGATTATGACCGATCAGAACGCTTTTTCAATCGATTAAATCTCGTTTCAATCGATTAAAACAGTTTCTGCACAGATTTTCGCTCGAGCGAGGAAAGTTTCGCTCAAGCAAAACACAACCCGAGAATGCCAATTTTGTGCAGGGGGCATTTCGCTCGAGCGAGTAGACTGTCGCTCAAGCGAAGTACATTTTAGATAGCGGTTAACGTGGAACCGCTATTATATCGTTTCAATTATGATCGATCAGAATGCAATTATGACCGATCAGAACTCTTTTAATCGATTAATTCTGGTTTCAATCGATTAAAACAATTTCTGCACAGCGTTTTAATCGATTAAAACTTATTTTTATCAGTTAAAATAACTTGAAAAGTTTTACAAGAAAGTTTTGCAATGGGGTTCGGCCTCGAGTTCGTCGAGGTTGAGGCTGGGGTTGAGATTCGAAGTTGCTTGGGTTTTGATTGGGTGTTTTGGTCACTCAGATTTGAGATTCAAGGTCACTGGGTTGGATTTCAAGCTTGAGGTCAGGTCATGCATGCTGGGTTAAAGATCTTCGAAGCTGAATAGAAGGGTGGAGGATTGGGGTTAGAGAGACGAAGGTGATTAAGCTCGAACAATGGTGGATAGTCACTGGTACAAGGTCACAAAGAGGGAGTGAAATTATGAGCGGGAAGGTGAATTTGGGAGGGCTGTCAGCATGAATTTGGGAGAGAGTGAAATTATATATAATTATTATTATTATAAATTTAATTTTCTAATAACTAATAATATTAACACATTTATTAAATTAAATTTATTTATTTTAATTAATTATTTTAAATTTTTTTAACAATTTTTTTTTAAATAAATATGATAAAACTTAAAATTAATTTCTAACTAATAATATGGTTAATAGTATATTATATTATTATGTTTAATTAAATTTTAAAATAAATTTACTTAATCTTTACAATTTATATAAAAATAACTAATATAAACTTAAAATATATATCTAACTATTAAATTATCCAAAATATTAATATAAATTTAAAATATCAATTTAGTAATTAAAATAATTTTAATTTTTTTTATAAATATATTGAAATACATTTTTATTAATATATATATATATATATATATATATATATATATATATATATATATATTATTGAATCAGTGACTGAATCGATGATCGATTCGATGACTGATTCATGATCGATCGATGACCGATTCTGATGATCAATGGACCGATTCGGTGACCGAAAATTCGGTGACTAATTTAATAATTAATTTTAATTTTTTTATTCACATGTTAAATTAAAAAATAAAATCAAATAATTATATTACTAAATTATTTAATAAGTTAGTACACTATTTTGAAAAACAATTATAATGTTATTAAAAATGTTATCAATTATTTTAAGTTATTAAGTAGATATATATTTAATATATTATTAGAATATTTTAAAAAATATTTATATAAATGAAAAATAGTTACCTTGTTTTGTAATCGAATTTTTCTGATCACTATTAACCAATTAGTGACTCGATTTGGTGACCGAATCGCTGACCGGTTTCGTGACTTAAATTTTAGTCACTAAATCAGCTCACTAAATATGAAATGGGAAATCAGTCACTGATTCAGTTACTATCAGTCACTGAATTTTTCGGTCACTAATTTTGGTCACTATTAACCATTTTTCTAGTAGTGAGAAGTTAAGGAAGAAGAAGTTTAGGAAGGAGACGAAGTCAAGGAAGAAGAAGTTTTGGATGGAGAAGAAGTTAAGGATAAAGAAGAAAGTATGGATGGTGAAGAAGTTTGGGATGGAGAAGTTTGGAAGGGAGAAGAATCTACTAAGTATGGAGAAGAAATTAAGGAAGAAGAAGTTAAGGAAGGAGAAGAACTTTCGGATGGGATGGGATCGGATGGGAGATTATATAGTTAAGGATGGAGAAGAAACTTGGGATGTAGAATGAAGTTAAGGAAGCAGAACAAGTTAAGGAGGATGGAGAAGAAGTTAGGGAAGGAGAAAAAGTGAAGAATGAAGAACAAGTTAGGGAAGGAGAAGAAGTTAAGGATGGAGAACAAGTTAGGGAAGGAGAAGAAGAGGTTAAGGATGGAGAAGTAGTTTGGGATGGGGAAGAAGTGAAGGAAGGAGAAGAAGTTAAGGAAGAAGAAGAAGAAGAAGAAGTTTTGGATGGAGAAGAAGTTAAGGGTAAAGAAGAAAGCATGGATGGGGAAGAAGTTTGGGATGGAGAAGAAGTTAAGGATGGAGAAGAAGTTTGGGATGGAGGAGAAGTTTGGAATGGAGGAGAAGAACCGAAGTATGGAGAAGAAGTTAAGGAAGAGGAAGTTTAGGAAGGAGACGAAGTCAAGGAAGAAGAAGTTTTGGATGGAGAAGAAGTTAAGGATAAAGAAGAAATTATGGATGGGGAAGAAGTTTGGGATGGAGAAGAAGTTTGGAATGGAGAAGAATCTACTAAGTATGGAGAAGAAATTAAGGAAGAAGAAGTTAAGGAAGGAGAAGAACTTTCGGATGGGATGGGATCGGATGGGAGATTATATAGTTAAGGATGGAGAAGAAACTTGGGATGTAGAATGAAGTTAAGGAAGCAGAACAAGTTAAGGAGGATGGAGAAGAAGTTAGGGAAGGAGAAAAAGTGAAGAATGAAGAACAAGTTAGGGAAGGAGAAGAAGTTAAGGATGGAGAACAAGTTAGGGAAGGAGAAGAAGAAGTTAAGGATGGAGAAGTAGTTTGGGATGGGGAAGAAGTGAAGGAAGGAGAAGAAGTTAAGGAAGAAGAAGAAGAAGAAGTTTTGGATGGAGAAGAAGTTAAGGGTAAAGAAGAAAGCATGGATGGGGAAGAAGTTTGGGATGGAGAAGAAGTTTGGAATGGAGGAGAAGAACCGAAGTATGGAGAAGAAGTTAAGGAAGAAGAAGTTTAGGAAGGAGACGAAGTCAAGGAAGAAGAAGTTTTGGATGGAGAAGAAGTTAAGGATAAAGAAGAAAGTATGGATGGGGAAGAAGTTTGGGATGGAGAAGAAGTTTGGAATGGAGAAGAATCTACTAAGTATGGAGAAGAAATTAAGGAAGAAGAAGTTAAGGAAGGAGAAGAACTTTCGGATGGGATGGGATCGGATGGGAGATTATATAGTTAAGGATGGAGAAGAAACTTGGGATGTAGAATGAAGTTAAGGAAGCAGAACAAGTTAAGGAGGATGGAGAAGAAGTTAGGGAAGGAGAAAAAGTGAAGAATGAAGAACAAGTTAGGGAAGGAGAAGAAGTTAAGGATGGAGAACAAGTTAGGGAAGGAGAAGAAGAAGTTAAGGATGGAGAAGTAGTTTGGGATGGGGAAGAAGTGAAGGAAGGAGAAGAAGTTAAGGAAGAAGAAGAAGAAGAAGTTTTGGATGGAGAAGAAGTTAAGGGTAAAGAAGAAAGCATGGATGGGGAAGAAGTTTGGGATGGAGAAGAAGTTTGGGATGGAGGAGAAGTTTGGAATGGAGGAGAAGTATGGAGAAGAAGTTAAGGAAGAAGAAGTTTAGGAAGGAGACGAAGTCAAGGAAGAAGAAGTTTTGGATGGAGAAGAAGTTAAGGATAAAGAAGAAAGTATGGATGGGGAAGAAGTTTGGGATGGAGAAGAAGTTTGGAATGGAGAAGAATCTACTAAGTATGGAGAAGAAATTAAGGAAGAAGAAGTTAAGGAAGGAGAAGAACTTTCGGATGGGATGGGATCGGATGGGAGATTATATTGTTAAGGATGGAGAAGAAACTTGGGATGTAGAATGGAGTTAAGGAAGCATAACAAGTTAAGGAGGATGGAGAAGAAGTTAGGGAAGGAGAAAAAGTGAAGAATGAATAACAAGTTAGGGAAGGAGAAGAAGTTAAGGATGGAGAACAAGTTAGGGAAGGAGAAGAAGAAGTTAAGGATGGAGAAGTAGTTTGGGATGGGGAAGAAGTGAAGGAAGGAGAAGAAGTTAAGGAAGAAGAAGAAGAAGAAGTTTTGGATGGAGAAGAAGTTAAGGGTAAAGAAGAAAGCATGGATTGGGAAGAAGTTTAGGATGGAGAAGAAGTTCGGAATGAAGGAGAAATACCGAAGTATGGAGAAGAAGTTAAGGAAGAAGAAGTTTAGGAAGGAGACGAAGTCAAGGAAGAAGAAGTTTTGGATGGAGAAGAAGTTAAGGATAAAGAAGAAAGTATGGATGGGGAAGAAGTTTGGGATGGAGAAGAAGTTTGGAATGGAGAAGAATCTACTAAGTATGGAGAAGAAATTAAGGAAGAAGAAGTTAAGGAAGGAGAAGAACTTTCGGATGGGATGGGATCGGATGGGAGATTATATAGTTAAGGATGGAGAAGAAACTTGGGATGTAGAATGAAGTTAAGGAAGCAGAACAAGTTAAGGAGGATGGAGAAGAAGTTAGGGAAGGAGAAAAAGTGAAGAATGAAGAACAAGTTAGGGAAGGAGAAGAAGTTAAGGATGGAGAACAAGTTAGGGAAGGAGAAGAAGAAGTTAAGGATGGAGAAGTAGTTTGGGATGGGGAAGAAGTGAAGGAAGGAGAAGAAGTTAAGGAAGAAGAAGAAGAAGAAGTTTTGGATGGAGAAGAAGTTAAGGGTAAAGAAGAAAGCATGGATGGGGAAGAAGTTTGGGATGGAGAAGAAGTTTGGGATGGAGGAGAAGTTTGGAATGGAGGAGGAGAAGAAGTTAAGGAAGAAGAAGTTTAGGAAGGAGACGAAGTCAAGGAAGAAGAAGTTTTGGATGGAGAAGAAGTTAAGGATAAAGAAGAAAGTATGGATGGGGAAGAAGTTTGGGATGGAGAAGAAGTTTGGAATGGAGAAGAATCTACTAAGTATGGAGAAGAAATTAAGGAAGAAGAAGTTAAGGAAGGAGAAGAACTTTCGGATGGGATGGGATCGGATGGGAGATTATATAGTTAAGGATGGAGAAGAAACTTGGGATGTAGAATGAAGTTAAGGAAGCAGAACAAGTTAAGGAGGATGGAGAAGAAGTTAGGGAAGGAGAAAAAGTGAAGAATGAAGAACAAGTTAGGGAAGGAGAAGAAGTTAAGGATGGAGAACAAGTTAGGGAAGGAGAAGAAGAAGTTAAGGATGGAGAAGTAGTTTGGGATGGGGAAGAAGTGAAGGAAGGAGAAGAAGTTAAGGAAGAAGAAGAAGAAGAAGTTTTGGATGGAGAAGAAGTTAAGGGTAAAGAAGAAAGCATGGATGGGGAAGAAGTTTGGGATGGAGAAGAAGATAAGGATGGGGAAGAAGTTTGGGATGGAGGAGAAGTTTGGAATGGAGGAGAAGAACCAAAGTATGGAGAAGAAGTTAAGGAAGAGGAAGTTTAGGAAGGAGACGAAGTCAAGGAAGAAGAAGTTTTGGATGGAGAAGAAGTTAAGGATAAAGAAGAAAGTATGGATGGGGAAGAAGTTTGGGATGGAGAAGAAGTTTGGAATGGAGAAGAATCTACTAAGTATGGAGAAGAAATTAAGGAAGAAGAAGTTAAGGAAGGAGAAGAACTTTCGGATGGGATGGGATCGGATGGGAGATTATATAGTTAAGGATGGAGAAGAAACTTGGGATGTAGAATGAAGTTAAGGAAGCAGAACAAGTTAAGGAGGATGGAGAAGAAGTTAGGGAAGGAGAAAAAGTGAAGAATGAAGAACAAGTTAGGGAAGGAGAAGAAGTTAAGGATGGAGAACAAGTTAGGGAAGGAGAAGAAGAAGTTAAGGATGGAGAAGTAGTTTGGGATGGGGAAGAAGTGAAGGAAGGAGAAGAAGTTAAGGAAGAAGAAGAAGAAGAAGTTTTGGATGGAGAAGAAGTTAAGGGTAAAGAAGAAAGCATGGATGGGGAAGAAGTTTGGGATGGAGAAGAAGTTTGGGATGGAGGAGAAGTTTGGGATGAAGGAGAAGTTTGGAATGGAGGAGAAGAACCGAAGTATGGAGAAGAAGTTAAGGAAGAAGAAGTTTAGGAAGGAGACGAAGTCAAGGAAGAAGAAGTTTTGGATGGAGAAGAAGTTAAGGATAAAGAAGAAAGTATGGATGGGGAAGAAGTTTGGGATGGAGAAGAAGTTTGGAATGGAGAAGAATCTACTAAGTATGGAGAAGAAATTAAGGAAGAAGAAGTTAAGGAAGGAGAAGAACTTTCGGATGGGATGGGATCGGATGGGAGATTATATAGTTAAGGATGGAGAAGAAACTTGGGATGTAGAATGAAGTTAAGGAAGCAGAACAAGTTAAGGAGGATGGAGAAGAAGTTAGGGAAGGAGAAAAAGTGAAGAATGAAGAACAAGTTAGGGAAGGAGAAGAAGTTAAGGATGGAGAAGAAGTTAGGGAAGGAGAAGAAGAAGTTAAGGATGGAGAAGTAGTTTGGTGGATGGAGAAGAAGTTTGGGATGGAGAAGAAGTTAAGGATGGAGAAGAAGTTTGGGATGGAGGAGAAGTTTGGAATGGAGGAGAAGAACCGAAGTATGGAGAAGAAGTTAAGGAAGAAGAAGTTTAGGAAGGAGACGAAGTCAAGGAAGAAGAAGTTTTGGATGGAGAAGAAGTTAAGGATAAAGAAGAAAGTATGGATGGGGAAGAAGTTTGGGATGGAGAAGAAGTTTGGAATGGAGAAGAATCTACTAAGTATGGAGAAGAAATTAAGGAAGAAGAAGTTAAGGAAGGAGAAGAACTTTCGGATGGGATGGGATCGGATGGGAGATTATATAGTTAAGGATGGAGAAGAAACTTGGGATGTAGAATGAAGTTAAGGAAGCAGAACAAGTTAAGGAGGATGGAGAAGAAGTTAGGGAAGGAGAAAAAGTGAAGAATGAAGAACAAGTTAGGGAAGGAGAAGAAGTTAAGGATGGAGAACAAGTTAGGGAAGGAGAAGAAGAAGTTAAGGATGGAGAAGTAGTTTGGGATGGGGAAGAAGTGAAGGAAGGAGAAGAAGTTAAGGAAGAAGAAGAAGAAGAAGAAGTTTTGGATGGAGAAGAAGTTAAGGGTAAAGAAGAAAGCATGGATGGGGAAGAAGTTTGGGATGGAGAAGAAGTTAAGGATGGAGAAGAAGTTTGGGATGGAGGAGAAGTTTGGAATGGAGGAGAAGAACCGAAGTATGGAGAAGAAGTTAAGGAAGAAGAAGTTTAGGAAGGAGACGAAGTCAAGGAAGAAGAAGTTTTGGATGGAGAAGAAGTTAAGGATAAAGAAGAAAGTATGGATGGGGAAGAAGTTTGGGATGGAGAAGAAGTTTGGAATGGAGAAGAATCTACTAAGTATGGAGAAGAAATTAAGGAAGAAGAAGTTAAGGAAGGAGAAGAACTTTCGGATGGGATGGGATCGGATGGGAGATTATATAGTTAAGGATGGAGAAGAAACTTGGGATGTAGAATGAAGTTAAGGAAGCAGAACAAGTTAAGGAGGATGGAGAAGAAGTTAGGGAAGGAGAAAAAGTGAAGAATGAAGAACAAGTTAGGGAAGGAGAAGAAGTTAAGGATGGAGAACAAGTTAGGGAAGGAGAAGAAGAAGTTAAGGATGGAGAAGTAGTTTGGGATGGGGAAGAAGTGAAGGAAGCAGAAGAAGTTAAGGAAGAAGAAGAAGAAGAAGTTTTGGATGGAGAAGAAGTTAAGGGTAAAGAAGAAAGCATGGATGGGGAAGAAGTTTGGGATGGAGAAGAAGTTTGGGATGGAGGAGAAGTTTGGAATGGAGGAGAAGAACTGAAGTATGGAGAAGAAGTTAAGGAAGAAGAAGTTTAGGAAGGAGACGAAGTCAAGGAAGAAGAAGTTTTGGATGGAGAAGAAGTTAAGGATAAAGAAGAAAGTATGGATGGGGAAGAAGTTTGGGATGGAGAAGAAGTTTGGAATGGAGAAGAATCTACTAAGTATGGAGAAGAAATTAAGGAAGAAGAAGTTAAGGAAGGAGAAGAACTTTCGGATGGGATGGGATCGGATGGGAGATTATATAGTTAAGGATGGAGAAGAAACTTGGGACGTAGAATGAAGTTAAGGAAGCAGAACAAGTTAAGGAGGATGGAGAAGAAGTTAGGGAAGGAGAAAAAGTGAAGAATGAAGAACAAGTTAGGGAAGGAGAAGAAGTTAAGGATGGAGAACAAGTTAGGGAAGGAGAAGAAGAAGTTAAGGATGGAGAAGTAGTTTGGGATGGGGAAGAAGTGAAGGAAGGAGAAGAAGTTAAGGAAGAAGAAGAAGAAGAAGTTTTGGATGGAGAAGAAGTTAAGGGTAAAGAAGAAAGTATGGATGGGGAAGAAGTTTGGGATGGAGAAGAAGTTTGGGATGGAGGAGAAGTTTGGAATGGAGGAGAAGAACCGAAGTATGGAGAAGAAGTTAAGGAAGAAGAAGGTTAGGAAGGAGACGAAGTCAAGGAAGAAGAAGTTTTGGATGGAGAAGAAGTTAAGGATAAAGAAGAAAGTATGGATGGGGAAGAAGTTTGGGATGGAGAAGAAGTTTGGAATGGAGAAGAATCTACTAAGTATGGAGAAGAAATTAAGGAAGAAGAAGTTAAGGAAGGAGAAGAACTTTCTGGATGGGATGGGATCGGATGGGAGATTATATAGTTAAGGATGGAGAAGAAACTTGGGATGTAGAATGAAGTTAAGGAATCAGAAGAAGTTAAGGAGGGTGGAGAAGAAGTTAGGGAAGGAGAAAAAGTTAAGAATGAAGAACAAGTTAGGGAAGGAGAAGAAGTTAAGGATGGAGAACAAGTTAGGGAAGGAGAAGAAGAAGTTAAGGATGGAGAAGTAGTTTGGGATGGGGAAGAAGTGAAGGAAGGAGAAGAAGTTAAGGAAGAAGAAGAAGAAGAAGTTTTGGATGGAGAAGAAGTTAAGGGTAAAGAAGAAAGCATGGATGGGGAAGAAGTTTGGGATGGAGAAGAAGTTTGGGATGGAGGAGAAGTTTGGAATGGAGGAGAAGAACCGAAGTATGGAGAAGAAGTTAAGGAAGAAGAAGTTTAGGAAGGAGACGAAGTCAAGGAAGAAGAAGTTTTGGATGGAGAAGAAGTTAAGGATAAAGAAGAAAGTATGGATGGGGAAGAAGTTTGGGATGGAGAAGAAGTTTGGAATGGAGAAGAATCTACTAAGTATGGAGAAGAAATTAAGGAAGAAGAAGTTAAGGAAGGAGAAGAACTTTCGGATGGGATGGGATCGGATGGGAGATTATATAGTTAAGGATGGAGAAGAAACTTGGGATGTAGAATGAAGTTAAGGAAGCAGAAGAAGTTAAGGAGGATGGAGAAGAAGTTAGGGAAGGAGAAAAAGTGAAGAATGAAGAACAAGTTAGGGAAGGAGAAGAAGTTAAGGATGGAGAACAAGTTAGGGAAGGAGAAGAAGAAGTTAAGGAAGGAGAAGTAGTTTGGGATGGGGAAGAAGTGAAGGAAGGAGAAGAAGTTAAGGAAGAAGAAGAAGAAGAAGTTTTGGATGGAGAAGAAGTTAAGGGTAAAGAAGAAAGTATGGATGGGGAAGAAGTTTGGGATGGAGAAGAAGTTAAGGATGGAGAAGAAGTTTGGGATGGAGGAGAAGTTTGGAATGGAGGAGAAGAACCGAAGTATGGAGAAGAAGTTAAGGAAGAAGAAGTTTAGGAAGGAGACGAAGTCAAGGAAGAAGAAGTTTTGGATGGAGAAGAAGTTAAGGATAAAGAAGAAAGTATGGATGGGGAAGAAGTTTGGGATGGAGAAGAAGTTTGGAATGGAGAAGAATCTACTAAGTATGGAGAAGAAATTAAGGAAGAAGAAGTTAAGGAAGGAGAAGAACTTTCGGATGGGATGGGATCGGATGGGAGATTATATAGTTAAGGATGGAGAAGAAACTTGGGATGTAGAATGAAGTTAAGGAAGCAGAACAAGTTAAGGAGGATGGAGAAGAAGTTAGGGAAGGAGAAAAAGTGAAGAATGAAGAACAAGTTAGGGAAGGAGAAGAATTTAAGGATGGAGAACAAGTTAGGGAAGGAGAAGAAGAAGTTAAGGATGGAGAAGTAGTTTGGGATGGGGAAGAAGTGAAGGAAGGAGAAGAAGTTAAGGAAGAAGAAGAAGAAGAAGTTTTGAATGGAGAAGAAGTTAAGGGTAAAGAAGAAAGCATGGATGGGGAAGAAGTTTGGGATGGAGAAGAAGTTTGGGATGGAGGAGAAGTTTGGAATGGAGGAGAAGAAACGAAGTATGGAGAAGAAGTTAAGGAAGAAGAAGTTTAGGAAGGAGACGAAGTCAAGGAAGAAGAAGTTTTGGATGGAGAAGAAGTTAAGGATAAAGAAGAAAGTATGGATGGGGAAGAAGTTTGGGATGGAGAAGAAGTTTGGAATGGAGAAGAATCTACTAAGTATGGAGAAGAAATTAAGGAAGAAGAAGTTAAGGAAGGAGAAGAACTTTCGGATGGGATGGGATCGGATGGGAGATTATATAGTTAAGGATGGAGAAGAAACTTGGGATGTAGAATGAAGTTAAGGAAGCAGAACAAGTTAAGGAGGATGGAGAAGAAGTTAGGGAAGGAGAAAAAGTGAAGAATGAAGAACAAGTTAGGGAAGGAGAAGAAGTTAAGGATGGAGAACAAGTTAGGGAAGGAGAAGAAGAAGTTAAGGATGGAGAAGTAGTTTGGGATGGGGAAGAAGTGAAGGAAGGAGAAGAAGTTAAGGAAGAAGAAGAAGAAGAAGTTTTGGATGGAGAAGAAGTTAAGGGTAAAGAAGAAAGCATGGATGGGGAAGAAGTTTGGGATGGAGAAGAAGTTTGGGATGGAGGAGAAGTTTGGAATGGAGGAGAAGAACCGAAGTATGGAGAAGAAGTTAAGGAAGAAGAAGTTTAGGAAGGAGACGAAGTCAAGGAAGAAGAAGTTTTGGATGGAGAAGAAGTTAAGGATAAAGAAGAAAGTATGGATGGGGAAGAAGTTTGGGATGGAGAAGAAGTTTGGAATGGAGAAGAATCTACTAAGTATGGAGAAGAAATTAAGGAAGGAGAAGAACTTTCGGATGGGATGGGATCGGATGGGAGATTATATAGTTAAGGATGGAGAAGAAACTTGGGATGTAGAATGAAGTTAAGGAAGCAGAACAAGTTAAGGAGGATGGAGAAGAAGTTAGGGAAGGAGAAAAAGTGAAGAATGAAGAACAAGTTAGGGAAGGAGAAGAAGTTAAGGATGGAGAACAAGTTAGGGAAGGAGAAGAAGAAGTTAAGGATGGAGAAGTAGTTTGGGATGGGGAAGAAGTGAAGGAAGGAGAAGAAGTTAAGGAAGAAGAAGAAGAAGAAGTTTTGGATGGAGAAGAAGTTAAGGGTAAAGAAGAAAGCATGGATGGGGAAGAAGTTTGGGATGGAGAAGAAGTTAAGGATGGAGAAGAAGTTTGGGATGGAGGAGAAGTTTGGAATGGAGGAGAAGAACCGAAGTATGGAGAAGAAGTTAAGGAAGAAGAAGTTTAGGAAGGAGACGAAGTCAAGGAAGAAGAAGTTTTGGATGGAGAAGAAGTTAAGGATAAAGAAGAAAGTATGGATGGGGAAGAAGTTTGGGATGGAGAAGAAGTTTGGAATGGAGAAGAATCTACTAAGTATGGAGAAGAAATTAAGGAAGAAGAAGTTAAGGAAGGAGAAGAACTTTCGGATGGGATGGGATCGGATGGGAGATTATATAGTTAAGGATGGAGAAGAAACTTGGGATGTAGAATGAAGTTAAGGAAGCAGAACAAGTTAAGGAGGATGGAGAAGAAGTTAGGGAAGGAGAAAAAGTGAAGAATGAAGAACAAGTTAGGGAAGGAGAAGAAGTTAAGGATGGAGAACAAGTTAGGGAAGGAGAAGAAGAAGTTAAGGATGGAGAAGTAGTTTGGGATGGGGAAGAAGTGAAGGAAGGAGAAGAAGTTAAGGAAGAAGAAGAAGAAGAAGTTTTGGATGGAGAAGAAGTTAAGGGTAAAGAAGAAAGTATGGATGGGGAAGAAGTTTGGGATGGAGAAGAAGTTTGGGATGGAGGAGAAGTTTGGAATGGAGGAGAAGAACCGAAGTATGGAGAAGAAGTTAAGGAAGAAGAAGTTTAGGAAGGAGACGAAGTCAAGGAAGAAGAAGTTTTGGATGGAGAAGAAGTTAAGGATAAAGAAGAAAGTATGGATGGGGAAGAAGTTTGGGATGGAGAAGAAGTTAGGGAAGGAGAAAAAGTTAAGAATGAAGAACAAGTTAGGGAAGGAGAAGAAGTTAAGGATGGAGAACAAGTTAGGGAAGGAGAAGAAGAAGTTAAGGATGGAGAAGTAGTTTGGGATGGGGAAGAAGTGAAGGAGAAGAAGTTAAGGAAGAAGAAGAAGAAGAAGTTTTGGATGGAGAAGAAGTTAAGGGTAAAGAAGAAAGTATGGATGGGGAAGAAGTTTGGGATGGAGAAGGATGGATGGAGAAGAAGTTTGGGATGGAGGAGAAGTTTGGAATGGAGGAGAAGAACCGAAGTATGGAGAAGAAGTTAAGGAAGAAGAAGTTTAGGAAGGAGACGAAGTCAAGGAAGAAGAAGTTTTGGATGGAGAAGAAGTTAAGGATAAAGAAGAAAGTATGGATGGGGAAGAAGTTTGGGATGGAGAAGAAGTTTGGAATGGAGAAGAATCTACTAAGTATGGAGAAGAAATTAAGGAAGAAGAAGTTAAGGAAGGAGAAGAACTTTCGGATGGGATGGGATCGGATGGGAGATTATATAGTTAAGGATGGAGAAGAAACTTGGGATGTAGAATGAAGTTAAGGAAGCAGAACAAGTTAAGGAGGATGGAGAAGAAGTTAGGGAAGGAGAAAAAGAGAAGAATGAAGAACAAGTTAGGGAAGGAGAAGAAGTTAAGGATGGAGAACAAGTTAGGGAAGGAGAAGAAGAAGTTAAGGATGGAGAAGTAGTTTGGGATGGGGAAGAAGTGAAGGAAGGAGAAGAAGTTAAGGAAGAAGAAGAAGAAGAAGTTTTGGATGGAGAAGAAGTTAAGGGTAAAGAAGAAAGCATGGATGGGGAAGAAGTTTGGGATGGAGAAGAAGTTTGGGATGGAGGAGAAGTTTGGAATGGAGGAGAAGAACCGAAGTATGGAGAAGAAGTTAAGGAAGAAGAAGTTTAGGAAGGAGACGAAGTCAAGGAAGAAGAAGTTTTGGATGGAGAAGAAGTTAAGGATAAAGAAGAAAGTATGGATGGGGAAGAAGTTTGGGATGGAGAAGAAGTTTGGAATGGAGAAGAATCTACTAAGTATGGAGAAGAAATTAAGGAAGAAGAAGTTAAGGAAGGAGAAGAACTTTCGGATGGGATGGGATCGGATGGGAGATTATATAGTTAAGGATGGAGAAGAAACTTGGGACGTAGAATGAAGTTAAGGAAGCAGAACAAGTTAAGGAGGATGGAGAAGAAGTTAGGGAAGGAGAAAAAGTGAAGAATGAAGAACAAGTTAGGGAAGGAGAAGAAGTTAAGGATGGAGAACAAGTTAGGGAAGGAGAAGAAGAAGTTAAGGATGGAGAAGTAGTTTGGGATGGGGAAGAAGTGAAGGAAGGAGAAGAAGTTAAGGAAGAAGAAGAAGAAGTAGTTTGGATGGAGAAGAAGTTAAGGGTAAAGAAGAAAGTATGGATGGGGAAGAAGTTTGGGATGGAGAAGAAGTTAAGGATGGAGAAGAAGTTTGGGATGGAGGAGAAGTTTGGAATGGAGGAGAAGAACCGAAGTATGGAGAAGAAGTTAAGGAAGAAGAAGTTTAGGAAGGAGACGAAGTCAAGGAAGAAGAAGTTTTGGATGGAGAAGAAGTTAAGGATAAAGAAGAAAGTATGGATGGGGAAGAAGTTTGGGATGGAGAAGAAGTTTGGAATGGAGAAGAATCTACTAAGTATGGAGAAGAAATTAAGGAAGAAGAAGTTAAGGAAGGAGAAGAACTTTCGGATGGGATGGGATCGGATGGGAGATTATATAGTTAAGGATGGAGAAGAAACTTGGGATGTAGAATGAAGTTAAGGAAGCAGAACAAGTTAAGGAGGATGGAGAAGAAGTTAGGGAAGGAGAAAAAGTGAAGAATGAAGAACAAGTTAGGGAAGGAGAAGAAGTTAAGGATGGAGAACAAGTTAGGGAAGGAGAAGAAGAAGTTAAGGATGGAGAAGTAGTTTGGGATGGGGAAGAAGTGAAGGAAGGAGAAGAAGTTAAGGAAGAAGAAGAAGAAGAAGTTTTGGATGGAGAAGAAGTTAAGGGTAAAGAAGAAAGCATGGATGGGGAAGAAGTTTGGGATGGAGAAGAAGTTAAGGATGGAGTAGAAGTTTGGGATGGAGGAGAAGTTTGGAATGGAGGAGAAGAACCGAAGTATGGAGAAGAAGTTAAGGAAGAAGAAGTTTAGGAAGGAGACGAAGTCAAGGAAGAAGAAGTTTTGGATGGAGAAGAAGTTAAGGATAAAGAAGAAAGTATGGATGGGGAAGAAGTTTGGGATGGGGAAGATGTTTGGGATGGAGAAGAATCTACTAAGTATGGAGAAGAAATTAAGGAAGAAGAAGTTAAGGAAGGAGAAGAACTTTTGGATGGGATGGCATCGGATGGGAGATTATATAGTTAAGGATGGAGAAGAAACTTGGGATGTAGAATGAAGTTAAGGAAGCAGAACAAGTTAAGGAGGATGGAGAAGAAGTTAGGGAAGGAGAAAAAGTGAAGAATGAAGAACAAGTTAGGGAAGGAGAAGAAGTTAAGGATGGAGAACAAGTTAGGGAAGGAGAAGAAGAAGTTAAGGATGGAGAAGTAGTTTGGGATGGGGAAGAAGTGAAGGAAGGAGAAGAAGTTAAGGAAGAAGAAGAAGAAGAAGTTTTGGATGGAGAAGAAGTTAAGGGTAAAGAAGAAAGCATGGATGGGGAAGAAGTTTGGGATGGAGAAGAAGTTTGGAATGGAGAAGAATCTACTAAGTATGGAGAAGAAATTAAGGAAGAAGAAGTTAAGGAAGGAGAAGAACTTTCGGATGGGATGGGATCGGATGGGAGATTATATAGTTAAGGATGGAGAAGAAACTTGGGATGTAGAATGAAGTTAAGGAAGCAGAACAAGTTAAGGAGGATGGAGAAGAAGTTAGGGAAGGAGAAAAAGTGAAGAATGAAGAACAAGTTAGGGAAGGAGAAGAAGTTAAGGATGGAGAACAAGTTAGGGAAGGAGAAGAAGAAGTTAAGGATGGAGAAGAAGTTTGGGATGGGGAAGAAGTGAAGGAAGGAGAAGAAGTTAAGGAAGAAGAAGAAGAAGAAGTTTTGGATGGAGAAGAAGTTAAGGGTAAAGAAGAAAGCATGGATGGGGAAGAAGTTTGGGATGGAGAAGAAGTTAAGGATGGAGAAGAAGTTTGGGATGGAGGAGAAGTTTGGAATGGAGGAGAAGAACCGAAGTATGGAGAAGAAGTTAAGGAAGAAGAAGTTTAGGAAGGAGATGAAGTCAAGGAAGAAGAAGTTTTGGATGGAGAAGAAGTTAAGGATAAAGAAGAAAGTATGGATGGGGAAGAAGTTTGGGATGGAGAAGAAGTTTGGAATGGAGAAGAATCTACTAAGTATGGAGAAGAAATTAAGGAAGAAGAAGTTAAGGAAGGAGAAGAACTTTCGGATGGGATGGGATCGGATGGGAGATTATATAGTTAAGGATGGAGAAGAAACTTGGGATGTAGAATGAAGTTAAGGAAGCAGAACAAGTTAAGGAGGATGGAGAAGAAGTTAGGGAAGGAGAAAAAGTGAAGAATGAAGAACAAGTTAGGGAAGGAGAAGAAGTTAAGGATGGAGAACAAGTTAGGGAAGGAGAAGAAGAAGTTAAGGATGGAGAAGTAGTTTGGGATGGGGAAGAAGTGAAGGAAGGAGAAGAAGTTAAGGAAGAAGAAGAAGAAGAAGAAGTTTTGGATGGAGAAGAAGTTAAGGGTAAAGAAGAAAGTATGGATGGGGAAGAAGTTTGGGATGGAGAAGAATGGGAGGAGGAGAAGTTTGGAATGGAGGAGAAGAACCGAAGTATGGAGAAGAAGTTAAGGAAGAAGAAGTTTAGGAAGGAGACGAAGTCAAGGAAGAAGAAGTTTTGGATGGAGAAGAAGTTAAGGATAAAGAAGAAAGTATGGATGGGGAAGAAGTTTGGGATGGAGAAGAAGTTTGGAATGGAGAAGAATGGGATGGAGAAGAAGTTAGGGAAGGAGAAGAAGAAGTTAAGGATGGAGAAGTAGTTTGGGATGGGGAAGAAGTGAAGGAAGGAGAAGAAGTTAAGGAAGAAGAAGAAGAAGAAGTTTTGGATGGAGAAGAAGTTAAGGGTAAAGAAGAAAGTATGGATGGGGAAGAAGTTTGGGATGGAGAAGAAGTTAAGGATGGAGAAGAAGTTTGGGATGGAGGAGAAGTTTGGAATGGAGGAGAAGAACCGAAGTATGGAGAAGAAGTTAAGGAAGAAGAAGTTTAGGAAGGAGACGAAGTCAAGGAAGAAGAAGTTTTGGATGGAGAAGAAGTTAAGGATAAAGAAGAAAGTATGGATGGGGAAGAAGTTTGGGATGGAGAAGAAGTTAAGGATGGAGAAGAAGTTTGGGATGGAGGAGAAGTTTGGAATGGAGGAGAAGAATCGAAGTATGGAGAAGAAGTTAAGGAAGAAGAAGTTTAGGAAGGAGACGAAGTCAAGGAAGAAGAAGTTTTGGATGGAGAAGAAGTTAAGGATAAAGAAGAAAGTATGGATGGGGAAGAAGTTTGGGATGGAGAAGAAGTTTGGGATGGAGAAGAATCTACTAAGTATGGAGAAGAAATTAAGGAAGAAGAAGTTAAGGAAGGAGAAGAACTTTCTGATGGGATGGGATCGGATGGGAGATTATATAGTTAAGGATGGAGAAGAAACTT